TTCGCTGTTCAACTCCCGGGATAGAGTGCTGTTCACATTGTTCTTTTGTTGTTCTATGTGCATGGGTAGGTTGCTGTTCACCCGGTAGTACTTCGTTGTTCAACCCCCGGGGTAGGGTGTTGTTCACATTGTTCTTTTGTTGTTCTATGTGCATAGGTAGGCTGCTGTTCTACCCCGCTGTTCAAACCTCGGGGTAGGATGCTGTTCACATTGTTCTTTTGCTGTTCTATGTACATGAGTAGGGTGCTGCCCACCCGGTTGTGCTTCATTGTTCAATCCCCGGGTAGGGTGTTGATCATATTGCCGTTTTGCGGCTCTAGATGCTTGGGAAAGTGTCGATGGATCACTTCTTGTTGCTTCCTCTCTTGGGAATCTACGGTTCTGAAAAGACTGCCTTCACTATGGCAAGGGGGGGGCACGGGCGGCCAAGACCAACGACCTACGAGAAAAGACATAAGGGGTAGGGAGTTGGGCGGTTGGATAGGATCGGTCGCGAACCACAAGACAAGCGAGCCATCACCTACACCCATCCACCATAGCCGGACACCCCAACCCTTCTCCAACCTCCATCACCTACACCTATCCACCATAGCCGAGCACCCCAACCCTTCTTCAACCTCCATCACCTACACACATCCACCATAGCCGAACACCCCAACCCTTCTTCAACCTCCATCACCTACACCCATCCACCATAGCCGACCACCCCAACCCTTCTTCAACCTCAATCACCTACACCAATTCATTATAACTGAACACCCCAACCCTTCTTCAACCTCCATCACCTACACCCATCCACCATAGCCGGACACCCCAACCCTTCTTCAACCCCCATCACCTACACCCATCCACCATATCCGGACACCCCAACCCTTCTTCAACCTCCATCACCTACACCCATCCGCCATAGGCGGACACCTCAACCCTTCTTCAACCTCCATCACCTACACCCGTCCACCATAGCCAGACACCCCGACCCTTCTTCAACCTCCATCACCTACACCCATCCACCATAGCCGTACACCCCAACCCTTCTTCAACCTCCATCACCTACACCCATCCACCATAGCCGGACACCCCAACCCTTCTTCAACCTCCATGACCTACACCCATCCACCATAACCGAGCACCCCAACCCTTCTTCAACCTCCATCACCTTCACCCATCCACCGTAGCCGAACGCCCCAACCCTCCTTCAACTTCCATCACTTACACCCATCCACCATAGCCGAACACCCCAATCCTTCTTCAACGTCCATCACTTACACCTGGCCACCATAGCCGGACACGCCAACCCCTCTTCAACATCTATCACCTACACCCATCCACCATAGCCGGACACCCCAACCCTTCTTCAACCTCCATCTTCACACCCATCCACCATAGCCGGACACCCTAACCCTTCTTCAACCTCCATCACCTACACCCATCCACCATAGCCGAACATCCCAACCCTTCTTCAACCTCCATCACCTACACCCATCCACCATAGCTGGACACCCCAACCCTTCTTCAACCTCCATCGCCTACACCCATCCACCATAGCCGGACACCCCAACCCTTCTTCAACCTCTATCACCTACACCCATCCACCATAGCCGGACACCCCAACCCTTCTTCAACCTCCATCGCCTACACCCATCCACCATAGCCGGACACCCCAACCCTTCTTGAACCTCTATCACCTATACCCATCCACCATAGCCGGACACCCCAACCCTTCTCCAACCTCCATCGCCTACACGCATCCACCATAGCCGGACACCCCAACCCTTCTTCAACCTCCATCACCTACACCCATCCACCATAGCNCAACCCTTCTTCAACCTCCATCACCTACACCCATCCACCATAGCCGGACACCCCAACCCTTCTTCAACCTCCATCACCTACACCCATCCACCATAGCCGGACACCCCAACCCTTCTTCAACCTCCATCGCCTACACCCATCCACCATAGCCGAACATCCCAACCCTTCCTCGACCTCCATCAACTACACCCATCAAGCATAGCCGGACGCCCCAACCCTTCTTCAACCTCCATCGCCTACACCCATCCACCATAGCCGGACATTCCGACCCTCCCTCGCTTATCACTTCCCCCGTCCAATCGAGAGCCTTAAGGGGCCGCAAGGGGGTGCACGGAATTCCGAACAGAATCGGTTAGGGTAAGTCAATGGTCGCATGATGGGGATTCGAGCGTCCTCCCTTTCGGAAGGAAAGGATTGGTTTGCGCCGGTCGGTGCAGGATGCGGAATGGTCGTCCTCTTTGAAGTTCATCGGGTTCCGTGTGTGGGGGTCGGGCTACCGGGCTCTCAGGCAAGGGTGGGTCTCGTCGGCTGATTAGTAACATTCTCACCAAGCGGTCCGAGCATGGCTCGATGATCTTGCCCAGATGGGGTGTGAAACGTCTTCAGGCGGGGTGGCTGCTTGTCGGTAGACGGCATGTGACTAACCCCCCCCTCACCTGTTACAGTGCCAGGGAACGAACGGGAAGGAACTTAGTCTTCACTTGGTGGAAAGCGAGGGCAAGGGAAGGGCAGTCGGTCCCTTGTAGCACCAAGAAGGGAAGGATACGAAACTATGGAGAGCAATTGCAAAAGCGGAAAGGAGTGCTGATTTTGGACGAGGTCAATTTGACTCAACCATCCTCCCCGACTGCATGACTAAGGTGAAGGCATGGCTTGCTTGAGTGAAGGGAAAAGATAACCAAAGGATCATCAGAGGCAAAAGGAACTTAGGCTTGTGGGAGGGGCGATGTGTTGACCCCAATGGGGATTGTACCTGACTTTTGCTTTGTGTGGTCTTGCGCACGTGAGTAGCCTAGGGTGGTCTGAGCGGGACTGCGTCCGCCGGATGCGGGCGGGAATAGGGAAAGCGACGAGGGAAGGACTTAGACCCCACTTAAACTATGAATGCAGGATGGGTTGGATGGTCGGATGGTCAGATGGTCGAATGAGTGGTAGACGCCGGGATGGGGCTCGTGTGATGATTGAATGCAATGGTTCTCTTGAATGCAATGCAAGCCTGGAGGGACTAAGGGCAGTCGTGGATAGGTGAATGCAATGTTGGTGGCTCAAGCAAAAAAAAATATAGCGGCTAGGGGTCCGGGCGATGCCACCCTACCCCAAGGATGCCGTAGGGGCTGTCTTGAGCCACTAGACTTACTGAAAAGGTGCGTAGCCCAATGGATGACGCTTGGCCTGCGTATGATAAGAAGACAAACCTTCAATAAACTCCCTAGACTGCTTGCATATTGGAAGGAGCAATTGCCTGATCAGACTTAATTGGATTAAGAAAATGTCACGAGTGGGGAAAGAGTTACCATCTTGACGCGAGAGCGGAGCTACATCCCCCAATGTAATGCCCTCTCGCAAAAGGTCCATCCCCATCCACCTCAAAGCACTAGGTGGGGGTGTCCCTGGGACAAACGACCCGCGCCCTGAGCGTGAGCGTGGGCGGGTCGAGCCAAATGGGACCCGCAGTAGGGTCGACCGAGGCTCGAAAGTCCTTCAGGGTACGACCCCTACAAAAATGGTGGAGGCGCCGGGTATGGGTTTAACTGCCCCTGACGATCTCGAAGGGGGACCCCGACGCCTGACCGCGTACATAACCGAAGAGAAGGAATGAGGAGTTGTGTGTGCTCTATCCCTTTGAGCGAATCAGATTTGAGGGTGGCTGGGCGCATGGCAAGGCCAGGCCTGGAGAAAGAACATGCATGCTTGCACATGATCAACCATCTCCTTTGGGGATGACTCTAGTCCTCCTTCCCTTGGACTGATGTTCGTCAGACCGGGGAAGCCTTGGGCAAGCCGCAGGTCGACCCTTCCTCTTCGTGCGAAAGAAGGGCTCCGGTTACCTGGCAGGCGATTGGGATTCCGGGCTAGTCCGGGTTCCGATGAAAATCCCGCGGCGGAGTGATCCGACCGACATGGGTGCTCTCTTTCCTTTTCTTCGGAGCCCAACGGGCTTTGTGCACCGCACTTAAATGCTTGAAGGAACCTCATATGAACATAAACGGTAATCGAGAAGGAACAATCCTGCCCTATGAACGGACACACAAACAAAGATAAGGGAATGAAGGGAGTTGCTAGACTCCAASAAAAACTAGCTCCCCTTTGAAGATGCTCACGAAAAGGAACCGGGCACTATGTATGGAAGTTAGAGGTGAGTGGCACGCACTGTCCTGAGTGAAAACCTGTGAGCAATGGGTAGGAAGCGCCGGGTGCACCTGGGGAAAGGCACTTGTGTTATGTGTGTCCCACCTTGGGGCTTGTGTTTGCATGATGGGGATTCGAGCGTCCTGCCTTTCGGAAGGAAAGGATTGGTTTGCGCCGGTCGATGCGGGATGCAGAATGGTCGTCCTGTTTGAAGTTCATCGGGTTCCGTGTGTGGGGGTCGGGTCACCGGGCTCTCAGGCAAGGGTGGGTCTTGTCGGCTGATTAGTAGCATTCTGACCCGAGCGGTTCGAGCATGGCTCGATGATCTTGCCCAGGTGGGGTGTGAAACGTCTTCAGGTGGGGCGGCTGATTGTCGGCAGATGGCAAGGGGACCACTGCATACGGGGCAAGGAAGGAGCCTCAGAGGCGATTGAAAGCTTCTCGTAGCATGGCCTGGAAAAAGCTGATTCTTGTCGGACCGATGGAAGTGAATGCCTGGACGGCCGGCTCCAATGGCCTCACCGAGATGTGCGGGGTGATTCCCGAGATTAACGGTGGGTACACGCGTGGCAAGTCGGGATGGGGTATTCTGGGTAAGGAGGAAAGGGCGAATGCCTTGCCGAGACCTGGGTACCGCGCTCGCGACGGTTGAGCTGTGCTTGAGGTATGGGGTAAAGCCCTGCCGATAGTAACAGTGGAGAGACCATTTCCGGGAAAGAGGTCGATGAGGAGATGACCGACCTGTGTGTGACGATTGCCTGAGTTCTGTTTTTTGTGCCTCCCTCTGTAAAGTTGCCTGATGAATGTTGGATGGGGATCGAATTTCTAGTCTATTCTCAACCCCTGCCTAAGTCTGCACGAGTGAGAGAACATGGGGAAAAGGCTGAATAGGAGTCGGAAGAGAGTGGAACCAAGAAAAAGGAATGCGAGCGGCTGGTGATCGATTGGGGGTATGGTAGGGCAATGACACCTGGGAAATGAATAAGAAAAGTTAGGAAGACCCGGATGAGGGGTCTAAAAACAACTCTCATCTAGAAAAGGAAAAGCAAACCATCTAACCATGAGGGGCCGTGTGGTGCTCTCATGTGGGAAACAGGACAGGCGCCGGGAAAACAAGATGGCGCGATGGTTGTTGCCTCCTGTCTACTCTAGTGGTCCGGAAATGCCTATAGAAGTAAGGGATGGGGTATCTGTTGTTCTCCCGGAAGAAGGGACATGGACCGGCCTAGAACCAGCCTATGAAACCGTGATGCTGGACAAGAAGGACGCATTCCTCTGGATAGAGACAATCTGGACTACGGTCAGCCTGACAAGACTCTCACCTAGCTTGATGGACCTAGAATTCCGGGGAACGGTGGAGGCCCGAGGATGGATCTACCTGTCTCAAGAAATGGAAAACGCAATGGTAGTGGGACTAGTATTGGGCACGGCACCGGATCAGCTGTTTAGGCAAGCGGAACGGAAGTGGTGTGGGCTGCATGTCAGCGGGCAGAAATGGAGATTGAGAGGATGGAGGTGCGAGTGGAACTCGGGGACCGAAAAAATATGAGACGCCCCCTTAGGACAATGAGATGCGTGCTACCCCCGTTTCTAGTGGATGCAGTTTTTCGGACCTGGGGTAGATTGAAGCGGATATGCCGGTCAATGACGCACCTAAGGTTGTACCAAGGTGCTAGGCAGAACTTCTTTAAATTGTCAGTCGAAGCAGGGTCGTTCGAATGAAACTGAGCGGAAGAATTGGCTGAGGGTTTAAACCTCCTCAGCGCGGACGAAATCTTTGTTCCCAGCCCGGTGCATTAGCAGATAGTTTGCCGAAACGTGGCAGCAGGGGAAACCTTCTTGGAAGGGGTGAAAGAGATGTTCCTAGATGAGGAGGAGGATTTCAGTGATGAGGAGGACGAAGACGAAATAGAGGACTGGGACTTCTGAAGGGGGGGGCTTACCTGGGGAAAACGGAATGTCGGCTATGTGCAGGTAGGGAACGATGGCCCGGGAACCCGAATTATGGGACTGCACATGGGAACCAAGACGAACCAGAAGGGGAGTACAGATGTCAATACCGTCGAGCAATGAATGGAAAAGGACCACATGTGATTGGCGGGGGTATGAGATTGTGCCGGAACTATCGTACCTTTGGGTAGAGCATATCTGGAATCCGTTGAGGGAAGAGGAAGGATGGGAAGAGATTGCGGAAGGAAGGGTGGAATCAATTGGGACGATCGTTCTCTCGAAACAGGGTTGGCACGACACCTGTTCTGCACGGCGCTCGCGGCAGGACAAAACCCGATGTGGCTTTTAGGGGACGCTGAGGCAAGGGCTCGGCAGGCGGGGGAAAGCTTTGCTAACAAAGGATGGGATACGGTCAACAGTAGAGTCGTGATGAGAGTATGAAAGGAATTTAAACCGCTCGGTGCCCGAATCAAGACCTGGGTACCCGAGTTCGTGGGGGACTGGTTTGGTGGTTTTGATTATGTAACAAAGGTAGTCGACACGATGGAGCGAATACATGTGAATTTTGCACATGGCTGGCAGGGGAATTTTATAGGACATCCTTGAAATACGGACCCTTCCACGGCGATAGAGCCCGGGAGGTCCTCATCATTCTGAACATCGAAAGGAATGACCGGCAAGACGTGTCCCCGGAAACCAGGGAGGCCATAATCCGCCGTGAGGTAGCAGCAACACCTTGCTATGTGGATGATGTGTTCAAACTGTTCGAAGTACTGTGGTCCGACTAAGCGCAGGGAAACTGTGGAGCCAGACAAATACGACAAAATTGCTAAGATTAGGGAATGGGATGTCTGGTCATTGTAGGGTTCAGCGCAGATTACGAGCCAGGAGATCAAAGGCGAGCGCGCGATGGCACGAAGAAGGACGTTCCTTGAGGAGCGCCCCTTGGGCATTGAACCGCCTAGGGAAGTACCGGGTGGGATAGAGGCTAGCCTGCCGGCAACAAGCGAGGGATGGCACCAGGTGGCGGATTGGGTTGGGATCGAGCTTGCGGAAAATATGGTTTATTTGGTGACGAAAGTTGAGTGGTGTGTGACTGAGAATGGGGAATGGAACCCAGACCCACGTGGGCACGTGCGCGCAGAAGGGCGGTTGTATGTGTCGGAAAACGGATGGAGGGAGTTCGGAGTTCGGCTGGCGTCAGGAGAAGACCCCTTGAGCATGTTTGCAGGGGCATGGCAGTTAGTATGGCAAGCGGGATTTGAGTTCGCAGATCCGGGCCTTCTTAGAAATGGGGCCGTTCAGCGGAGAGCAAAAGCACGAGGTGCTGCGCATCCTGCGTGCTGTGTTTAGTACCAGGCCGAGGGTTCCGGTCGTGGGAAGTGAGGTCATGTGGGGCGTTGTCCGATGAGAGATAAACCAAGGAATGGCGTACGTAGATGATCTGTACCGATTATATGAGCAGACGGAGGAGGGGATAAGTCCGTAATAGGGCGAAGGAGAGGGGAAAGAAATATAAGGGGAAAAGAAGTGTCAGGCTAGGAATCGGGGAGTTGTCCGGACAGAAAATTCAAGACCAAGGGGAATAAGTAAATTTGCGTGCTGTTTAAAACTGTGCAGGGGACTTCTACGTCGGAAATGGCGATGAGACGCGCCCGGATGCCGCGACGACCCATGCACCCGCGGCCACCCACGGAAAACGGAGATGGATGGGAGGTGTCGCTCCCAGCAAGCTACATGATTCAAGGATTGGATACCGAGTGGAGAGCCGTGACCCTGGGAAGAGGCCAGGCGTTCATGATGGTGGAATGTTTGTGGGATGGTATGAGAATTAACAAGGGACCGGGGGACGATCTGTACACCGATCTTAGGGTAACGGGGACCGTATACCTGCCAGAGCTCGGGTGGCACATGTTAGGGACGGAGTTGGCACTAGGGCATGGGTTGTTGCCAATCTTCCAGAGGGCTACTAGAGCACTAAACCGGGTAGGCCAGGAAGTGCGAGGAAGAAGGAATGCAGGGTTAAGGACTCGGGTGAAGATAGGAGGTTGGCGAGAGTTTAAGGCCCCAATGACCGGGCTGAGGTGTCGAGTACCTCGCTTCATGGTAGACCTGGTATTCGGCAGTCTCAAGAGGGCAAGGGATTTGGTAGACTCGACCCTGGTTTGGATCCACCTCTTCCTGCCGCAAACAACGGGCATGTTTTACGACGTGTCGGTCAGACATGAGCCGTTCTGGGGAAACCAGGCCTGGGAACTACTCGAATTACTCGAGATCTTGATATTCGGATTGCCCCACCTGTCGTTTGGAGAATATGAGCCAATAATTATCAGGGAAATAGAAATGGGGGAAAATTACCTTGTTGGGTTGGCTGACCTGTTTGAGGAACCGGATGAGTAGGGCAGGCCTGAGGGACCAGCATGAGAAAAACGTGTCAGGGAGAAGTAGGGAAATAAAGAATGGGTACTAAGATAAGTAGGCAGCCATCAGCAAAAGAGAGGCAGTGGTTGAAGTTCCGGCCTACCCAATGATGCGGCAGGGAGGAACTAGGAAGACCACCCGCTCCAAAGATTTTGGGGCACCTGGATGGCAATAAGCCGAAAAGGCCATCCCCGATAGGAAAGCCACTGGGCTCAGGTACCGCCCTAAGAATCAAAGCGCGACAGTAATGAAATGCCAAAGCGGCGGCGGCAAGGCTCCAGTAGAAGAAAACCTGAAGGACGCCTCGGGAGAGAAAAGTCAGAAGAGTCGTACTGATTAATGTAAGATGCAAAAATATGGGAATAGGCGGATTTTAGGGACGGGACTAGAGCAGTTATGAACAATCGGCCGCCTTTTCGCAATTTTTTTTTTTTTTTTTTTTTTTTTCCATGTGCAGGCTAGGGAAAGAAATGGCGAAGGAGGAAGGGATCGATGACCAGCAGAGCGAAGGGAATCAGGGCACGAATGGGAATGGGGAACGAAACGAGGGATCAGCCAGGCATCGAGAGTCAGCCAAACTGGAGGGGACCCGAGAAGACGGAAAGGACGCCTCAATTGGAGAAAATTCGGGGAAAGCAAGGGGTAGCAAAAGGGGACCTTAGGAAAACAGGGAAGGGGGAAATGATATGAGAACAAGTCCTCGCAACTCAGCAGGAGCCACCCCTAAAAAAACGAAAGTCTTGGATACCAGTCATAAACTGGCAGAGATAGAGAAGCGGATCGCGAAATTTAAGGCAAGACTTATCGAGCGGATGATGGCCGGGGATGAGGAGGACCTCTAAGACGCAGGGTCACGTGAGGGACGCAGAGCCGGTCAGGACGAGGCTAGGTATGAGGGGAAGGATGATAGTCACAAAGGAACGCCTAGCAAGAAGGGGAAGGACAAGAGCGACCCCCCGGCGAAAGGAACGAAAAACGCTATGACCCCAACCGCCATTGACAGCGGCACTAGCAGACTACCCGCCACGCCGAAAGTAACAGGGGCGTGTGACGGACTCTGGAGCCTTAGGGAGAGAGTGCTAGGATGGTTCGACCCAGAAGGAACACCGAAAACCAGGGAGAAGCAGAGGGAAAGCAAGGAAGGGGAAGGAGCCAGTGCAGCCGGGGAAGCGGGTGGCCCCGAAGACGGTCTCAAGAAAGTAGTCGCCACCCTCAACAGGACACTGAACAAGAACCAGGGGTATCTCGCAGATGCAAAAAAGAAACTCACATTCGATGGGGCCAGGGTTGTCATGCGGGGATCCCCGGGGCCCAAGCCGGGGTAGGGGTTTCACCCCCGGACCCCCGCCGCGGGGCTACCCGACCCCCGCCCCCGCCAAAACACCCCCG